ATATTTATTTTAATATGAATATTTTTTTTATATATGAATTTTATTTTTATATGAATATTGAAAAGTTTTGAGATTGATATTAAAATAATTTGATTTTTCAACACTGTCGCGCGAAATACTTATTATATTTTTATTATGTACATTAATAATTATATAAGTATTAATAATAAATCAACATAAATTTCAAAAGAACAACAATGGACTTTGTTCATCGCGTTCGTTACCAATCAACATAATACATTTTTTATGTTATTATTGTAAGAGAGATAAAGGAAAAGGAAATGAAGAAAGGTTTCATTTACGTAATTCTAATCAATTTCAGACGTCATAAGTATGAGAACGTAACGCGTGGAGTTCATTAAGTTTTTATAAATTATTGATGAGTTAATAAATAGATGCTTTTGTCGTATCGTTTTATCATTTTTTTTTTACCTTTCTCGTTAATAAAGTGTATTAATTATTTCTAAATAATGGCCATTATGCATTTATGGTATTCGACAAAATATTGTAGTTTAGATTAAAATATCAATTTATGGGGAATACAAATTCAAACGATAAATTGTTCGAACACAATTAAATAATCAAATAATTTTTTAAATACACTAATTTCATTTTCGAAACACTCGACACGTTTTAAAATATAAAAATGCTAATTGTAATCTCGTTAATATATATTTGTATAGATTTTTATTAAACTTTTGATTTGGTTTTCTATCAATTCGATAAATTATACGAACTGTTGGGTAAATAAAATAAAATTCATTTTGAAATTTAATTTGAGAAGGAGGTTACCAAGAAAGGTGAACATGATCTTGCCTATACGGATGTTTATATCGCAAGATAGAAAAGTATTGAAGTAGGTTACAACGGGACCGGTCTATCATCAGAGTATGTCAAGTTTATGCCAACGGGTTGGTTAATAGACACACATGTGTAGATATATGTAAATTTATCATATGCTTAGGCATATATTATATTTAATCTAAGTAAATAAATTTAATGTGACACAAAGCTAAAAAAGTTTCGCGTGAAATTAATTTTTCTCACGTTTCACCAAAACTTTTTATAAATTATTTCCATATTTTCGATACATTATTTGTGTGTAATCGAAATCAAAAGATTTATTTGAAATTGTTGTACTTTTTAAAAAAATTATATTTCTAATATAGCTAAAGTAATATATTAAAATATTTTTGATGATATTTTATATAGTTTATAATCAGAATGAATTTTTAAAGTATTATAAAAATTGTTTAATATTATTTTTATTAATCAAACCACAATAATATATTATTTCTGACTATTATGCAACAAAACTTATTCTTGTATTTCGTATAATTTAATTTAAATAAATCATAAAACACATTCATATATAAAAATGAATATTTTCATTAAAAAAAAAAACGATTACTTTTATTTTTCCGATCGTTGCACAACAATATTTCGTTAATATATATATTTCTTAAAATTAATTCGAAATAAATTTGTTATGTATTCTTTCATTATAATATTAGCATATACACTTTAAAAAATAATATGCGTTTTTTATTTACATATACAATACTGTCAATTCAGTAATGTTTTATTGGCCAATTCAATGCCATGAATCAAAGTTGTTTTCATTTGGTTACTCTCCAAAAGGAAAATAAAGATGCAATCATGAAACGTGGAAAATTAAATGTCGGACAATATGACATTGAGAAACGGAGCGTATCGCGATCGTTATTTTTTTTTTTTTTAACTCAGGAAGAGGAAGAACTATTGTGAAAGCTTAACGATTTCATATAATATGTGAAAAAATTGTCTTTATATTTATCGACAAAATCATTTAA